ATCTGTATTTTCTGGCTTGCCTTCCTGTCCCTTCCACTCTCTATGTTCAGATTAACAATACAGTCTGATGAGCAGGGGAATGGCAGACCTTCATTAGCAAAAAGTGTACATAAAAAGAGTACCATTTTCCCATTCTTATCACATACACTCCGTGCTAATTCTGTTTGATACTTTAATTAGTCAGAAATCAGATCTACTTTTAAATGTTATAGAACTAATGTGTTTTTCTCTGTACTAAGATGCATGCAACAAAGTAGTGATCTGGGATTTCTAAACCTTAAGTATTTAGAGAGAATGACACTGCTCAGCATTCTGCTCTCCATGAAATAACATTTCTCCGGGTAGATGTTGCCTTTTCCATTTTGCAGTCTGTCAGTCATTCTCCTACAACGTTTCAAGAATGGATGAAGGCTTTGGTTTTATTTGTGCCTATTTATCTGCTGAGGAGTGAGACTCTCAGAAAGAGTATGACTGGCCTACATTGCCTTGATATATGTGAGGTGTTAAATGGCTTATCTCATATGTCTCACAGCAAAACAGATAAGAGGAGGACCATGTACACAGGCGCTTCCATTATCTACTGTCATCTAGCAACAGTGTTCCCTAGAAACAGCACTGTTTAATTTTTTTCTTGCAACTTCTTCCTTTCTCTTTAAGCACTTGATAACATCAGACATAAAACAGTAAGTAGTTTAAGTTTTGCTGGTGTTGGAGGACTTTTCGGCCATGAATTTCAGTTTTTAGCAGATCAGAGGGCAGGAAACCTATATCCTCAAATATGTACACTGAAATTCTTGCTGTGTTGGGATACACTGGTGGATTATTTGGATTCCTACTTACCTAATAGACCCTAATAGATAGCAATGTTACATCTCTAAATTTTGTCTTTCATTTATAACCTTGACAGCATATGTACAAGGTAGATTTTAATACTGGCTTTAAACCATCCTTATTAATCCTCTTCATCTCAGGCTTCACCAGGGTGTAGCTATAAGGATGTGATTAAATTGGACTCACTGCAGCAGATATCACCTTCCCAAGAAGCCAGTTCAGCTTTCCTCAGACACCATTCCCTAGTATCCACATTGCACAATGGCTGTTCTGGGGTGCATGCTGGGATGGGACTCGCTAGCTACCACGCAGGATTATGATACCAGATAAACCTGGATTGTTGTATATTACGTGTGAAGTTTGCAAGTACCAGTGGAAGAGCCTGCACAGCTATGCTTATAAAGATCATTTCATTTAATGAGCAAATTAACTGAGCTACATTGTCTTGTAATGCACATCAGAGTAAGGTGCTCTGGATGAAAGTCTCGGAGCAGTACACTACTGAACACCTGCAATGATAGATTGTAGAAGTGTAGCTGTCCTGATGTAAACAAACAGAAAAATTATTGACCTCACAACAAATAATATAATAAAGTTCAAGAAATTTAACTCCTCCCACATCTCTGACACATAGGCCCTCTGAATTTTTGAGTTAATTCTTGTTTGAAACAAAACACGTCTTTTAGAACCTATTTAATTTTGTTCTACAGATTTCACATGATTCTTCCCCATCATGACTGAAGCAAAGCTGTTAAAATGGCCAGTCACACAATCTGCCAAAAGTATAAAGAGCTCATCTTATATTTTGTTGGATTGCCTTACATGTAAACGTTCTATATTGAAGTGGTTTTTTTATTATTGCATACATAATATTCTAATGTCTCCAGCTTCCATAGAAATAGTCTTCTTCTTTTCTTCTTTGGTATTCCAAGTATATTGAGGTCTGCTGGTTTTGGCTGGGATTTTATTTTGTTCACAGCGGCTTGTATGGGGCTGTGGTTTGGATTTGTGCTGAACACAAGGTTGATAATACAGATGTTCTTGTTATTGCTGAGGACTTACACAGACCCAAGGACTTTTCTGCGTTTCGTCCAGCCATGCTGGGGGTGAGACCAGGGGTGCACGGGAAGCAGGGAGGTGACACAGTCAGGGCAGGTGACCTCAACCAACCAAAGGGACCTTCCATACTCTGTGACATCAGGGTCACTATATAAATCTCCTGGGGGAAGAAGGGATAAGGGGAAAGGCCTTTGAAGTGCTGGTGTTTGTATTCCCAAGTCACGGCTGTGCGTGATAGGGCCCTGCTCTCCTGGAGTTGGCTGGACACCTGCCTGCCCATGGGAAACAGTGAATTCATTCCTTAGTTTCCTTTGCTTGTGTGTTAAATTGTCTTTATCTCAACCCATGAGTGTTACAGCTTCTACGCTTCCAATCCTCTTCCTGATCTTTCTGGTGGGGGAGTGAGTGGCTGTGTGACACATGGCTGCTGGCTGGGGTTAAACCATGACACAAGGCTTACTGAAAGTCAGTATTAGAAGTCCAAAAGGCCACTCAGATATTTTTACTTTTTTTTAAGCTCTATTTGTTAAAAGTTATCAAGAACTGCTGATTAAAAGTATATGACATTACTGGCTCCAGTTTAATATCCTGTTGAGTTACTGTTGAAATTGAAAGTATTTTATCACAGTCATGTTCTGACATCAATTTTTGATCTTTCTCCCAGTACAGAACTATGCTGAGCATTATTTAGTACAAAAGATATACTTACACAGACTTTGCATTGTTAAATGCTACTGGATTTTTATGCAAAGGTATTGATAACACCACTGTTGCTACTTTAATAATGAACCTTTTACCGTTTGTTTTTTCTTGATATGAGACATGAAAAAATACTTTTAATTACTAATTAATTGTCACTCCATTCATTATTATGTCCTTTGTTTCCTTCCCACATACCCTAGGGTTAAGGTTAAGGTTAGGGTTAGTGTTTGGGTTATGGTTAGGATTAGGGTTTATGTTGTTTGTTATTAAACTCTTTTTCCCATATCTCGTATTTTGTTTTTGTGTTATATTTGCCATAGTTACTTTCACATTTACTCTTATCTGAGCTGAATGTTTTAATCTGTGTAATTTTTTTTTCCAGTTGTAATTCTAGCAGAACATAATTAAATTGTTCCCAGTACCATCCACATTTCTTTCATAAAAACTCTTTCTTCAGGGGTTATGACAACTAATTGTCTCAGGTCTGTAATACTGGACTTTCCAAGCAACATTGTGTCTTTGTGTGTTTAAATACATCATTCCTTTGTTATATAAATTACAGAACAAAGATAATAGTTTGCTGTATTTTACTTTAGTGATCACTTCCTCTATCAGTAATGATGTTACTGGTGTTGTGACATGCAGATGTCACCTTTGCCTCTGAGGTTCTCCTTTCTGTCCCTTTTAGTGAGTATTTCCTCCCATGACAGTATATATCTGTGGGAACTGGAGAACTTACAGTAATGGGGAGTTGTAGTGTTTGGGGCTACTTTCAGACTCTATTACCTTCAATAATCCCAGTCATTTACAATCCTTCTGTTGTGGATGGAATCATGAATATTCATTCCCTGTAAGGAATTTTATCCAGACACTTTCTTTTTTTCCAGCCTGTTGTTTCAGCCTTCTCTACAGCAGGAGCTCAGTAGTGCTTCTGCACTGCCTTGCTGCCATATACCAATTATTTTATCATAAAATAATACTTGTGTCCTGTAGAAAAAAAAAACACAACATTGCTGTCATTGTTGGGCATGAAATTATTCACACAAACACAGCTCAGTGTGTGATAGGAAAAAGAGAGTGATTTATTTTGTAGTTCCTGTATTTATAGATTCTCAACAACGACCAGGGGTTGGATAGTCAGGTCACCACCTTCCCAACCACACTGGTCATGAGAAATGTCCATCAAAAGACATTTCTTTAATGGAATGTATGAACATCTATGTTTATTGTTACTTTCCTGAGAAAGTGGCTAGCAACTATGAAAATAAGATCAGAAGGTCTAATTCTCAGGGCAACTCAATGCTTTCCCTATTTCTTCAGGTTCTTTACATGTACTGTGTAGACTGTGGTATAATGATGCCAGGTTTGTTGATTTTAGATACCAAATAAAAAACACTAACAAGTATTTAAGGAACTTGCCTCTTCCTAAGTTTCATAGTGTCACTTCTAGAGTTGAAGGCCATTTTGATTTGTTACCTGTCTTCTAGAAGTGCTTAGTCTTCTCCTGAGATAATGACTGATCTTACCTTAGCTCTTCTTTACTCTTTCCATAAACAAAAAATAAATTCTGAGCAGCTGGACACTCATCTGTTGGTGCCAGTAGAAGACATGTAGTTTTCTGCAAATGTAAGTATTGGAGAAATCAACAGAGATTCATGAATGTTACTGGTATCTACAGTTTCATATCGACTCATTTTATTTCCAATGGCAGATTTAAAAAAAACAAATATTTTTTAATCATATTCAATGCTCAAAAACAAATGGGAATATCTTGATGACCTTCTTAATAAGACTTTAACCTGAAATATTTCCTCCTCTTAATTTAGGTCAAAGAAGCTCTTTATTTTGTGCCTGTGTCTTTGTAACCTCAATTAATTATTTTCTGGAAGTAGCTGTTGTTAAGCCCCTACAATTTAGCACAGTTCAGCACATATTTTCAACTGCTTACAGGAGCACACTGGGGAATGTGCTTTAATATTACTTCACACCTATTAAAATACAGATTCTTCCAGAGCAAGTATATGCTGCTGCTATGAATGAATAAATGTTAATCATAAAATGTACAAGTGAAAATTCAACTTATTCAAGAATATTGTCAAAATGTTTTTGTATAATAATGTTTGTACCTGAATAAACATGTCGGTGAAGTAATTGCATATATTGCAATTCATCATAATGACTATTTATGCAGAAATGACTACATGGAGATGAAAAACAATAAATGCTGACAGCTTTTTTATTTCTAAAAAGACTAATTTCTAATATATCTTTATAATACTTCTAATAAAATATTTCTAAAATTTTAAATACACTTCTAAAGAATCACAGCTGCCTCAAAGCACTTCTTTAAAATATGTCTCACTGCTGAAAGAAATTTATGTATTCCTTTTTTTTTCTCCCTCTTTTAGATATTTTTAAACGCAGATACAATCCGCCTGGGAAATCTACCAGTGGGGTCCTTTTCATCCTCCTCCTCCTCCTTCTCCTCCTCCTCCTCACCCAGCTCTTCAGCCCCTCGCCAGACAATCTATGAGCTCTGCGCCTGTCCCAATGGTAAACTTTACCTGTCCCCAGCAGGAGCAGGCTCCACATGTCAATCCAGTAGCAACATCTGCTTGTGGAGCTAGAATGACTCCGTTTTATCCTCACACCAGAATAGCCTTTTGTTACTATCCCTCTGCTTCACAGTTCAGTTTGGTTTCCCTTGTGACAAGTTCGACACTTCAAACGGCCTGCAGAGCAACTTCTTCCACTGTAAGCAGGAATACAGCGCTGCCTTCTCTCGTGGTTTGTGCTGCCACTCAACACAGAGATGAGAGAGAGAGATATCCAGAAATCAATGTATTCTTCATCAGGAAACCTAGAACATAAGATCACCTTATTTTCCAAAAGGGACAATAACACAGGTGCCTTTGCTACTTGAAGTGAAGCACATAGTTTTAGATTTTTGCAGGACCTGGATATGAACTGCACATAAATATATATCTAGAGAGAGAGAGAGAGAGAGAGTACATGAATTTTCCCAGAATCTGATGGTGAGATGAATTGGTTCCCCTTGTATGATATATAACTTTACTGTCTGAAAGCACAATTTTCCATTCATCTTTTTGGATGTAAACTTTTATCCCTGAATTTTAAAATTTTAAAGCATTGTGTGATGCTTGCTTTACTAAACAAATTCAGTAAATGGTTTTTAATACAAAAAGAGACAGAATTCCTCCCTGAGTTTGGTTTCTTTAAAAATGTGTTGTTACTATTTGTCTACTAAGTCTAGGGTTTTGTACACTAGGTAAATTTTGGAAGTGCTCAGCAATATTACTTTAAAAGTTAAAAATACATGCTCTTGTTTGTCATATCTGAATGACCTTATATTTTCATGACCATTGCATGTGAAGTGATTGCTTTAAGTAGAACATACAGTTTCTGGAAAAGAAGAACAGGGTATAGAAGGAAATTCTGATGATATGTTTGTTGATCAGTGTATTACTCTTCACAAGGTTCTTATAATTGGCAAATACAAAACCAAGAGAGAAATCTTCAAAGGTACATCTTGCCCATTTTCTGACTATGTTTAACTGCTGCCACTTGAACACAGTACAAACATTGTTAGTAATGTAAAGTGTGATGCTGAGAAGCAGTGCACTAACAACTTGTATGACATTCACATTTATTATTCTCTTTTGTTTACTGTCTACTGCTGAGGTTTCAAAGTAATAGTAGTATATATAAAATCACATATTAAATGACATTCAGTATTAAAAAGTACATCGATATTACCTTGACTTTACCAGGTCTGTGTTTAAATTATGCAGCCACATTTGCACTGAGATCTCACTACTGACTTTCTTTTTTGACAAGTTTCATGTGGGATTTCTTTCTTGTATCAATGTTCATATTTATGTGGCTCGATTGGTAATTGAAATCTTATAAGAAATGCTTTGGTATGCTGCTGGTAAAATTGTCACAACATTGATTAACAAGAGTATCTTGAAACTTGCAGAACCCAGGGAAGTAAAACAATATAAAAATGTTTCCTAATGTGGAAGATGGCTTGATTGTGTGAGGTAAGTATTTTTTTTAACTCTATTCTTTAAATTACATCACCTAGCTTGTATTGTTAGAAGCTTCTGAATCAAAGATCACCAGTGATATGAGAGCTTTTGCAAAGTAATTCTAAAGCCAGGGGAGATGGTGCAAGGTGGGTATTTCTACACACATTTTTTTTTTTTTTTTAGAGAAAATAAATGAATTTGAGTAAACTAGTATGGTGATTCCCTTGGCATCTTATTAACACCTAATAAGGCTGACTTTGTTTTCACTTCAGGTGAAATTCACTCCTATGCAGAAGACCAGCACAAGACGTGTCAATGGCTTGACTGGTGCTTGCCTTGCCATTGGCCCTCTTCAGAGGTGTGAATTTTACCTCATGGCAAGAATTCTGTATTTGCTGGTTTTAGCAGTTAAATGAAGATTTTAAATTTATTATTTTATGCCTTCAAAAGAAGGCTGTTAACAGCTGACTTGTTGTCTGTTTGAGATTGTTCTTCTTTGAAAGAAAATATACTAGAAAATATTGCAAGCAAATATACATTTGAACGTGAGGATTTTGAAGACAGTAGAAGGGACAAAAAGAGTTACAGATGACAAAGAGGATGACAATAAAACATTAGAAAGTGTAGCCACACAAGACACCCTCATAACTGGGATATATAGGGATATAGATGTCTTTTTTTATGCACACAAGTAGTAGAATGGTAAAGTGATAGCCATGAATTTCAGAAGGGAAAGTATAAAGATATGTATGAGGACACATCTATGTGTATTCATTATCTGTGCACACCTACATACACCAGTTGCTTAAAAGATGAACAAATATAGTGACTTATCTAAATCTATTTATATTTAATCTGAATTAAAATGTGGCTTCCTACAAATTGCATACAAGTAGTAAAAAAGCTGAGGAGCTTTTTTTCTCCTCAAAAAAACCTGCAGGATATCTTGCAGATATTTTGTCAAGAATTTTCCACTGAAAAATTCTTATTTGTTTGTTCTTCACCTTCTGAGATTACTTACCTGTTATTCATTTAAAAAAGGTCTCTGTTCACTGATGGAAGGACCCAAACTTAATAAATTTCACACTGACTTGGTTGGGAATGGGCAGGTAGAAAAAAAATATATATTTTTTACTAGATTAATTTTAACAGCAAGACTGAAATAATTTGCCACTTTGAATGAAGTCAGAAGACATATGTGGATAATACATTGGACTCCTAAAAAACAAGCCAGTAAATTCACGTAGCTCTGCACTGTCAGGATATTCATTACTGGAGTCCCATCAGTATGAAGTAGAGTATATTTAAGACATTCAACAACCTATGGGATAGAATAGCAAGTTCTCATAATATCTTAATAATCTGGTGAATTTCTTAATATTGATGTTTACTTTAAATCCATTGAAAACTGTAAGAAGGGAATTAAACATTTTTGATTTCAAAAAGTATTTCTAGCCCACATGATTTCAGGGAGTATTGGAAAAGTGATTTCAGTGCATTAACCATAATGCCAATTAAAAAATTAAGATGCCATCCTTATGACAACAATGAAATATCTGCAAAGACCTTATTGGCTACATGTATTTAATATATATGATAGATTTATTTCCTGTAAAAAGTATTTGTGTCATATTATAGGATACTGTCTCTTTCTTGTTTTTTCTTTTTTTTTAAAAAAAAAAAGAAGAGAAAAATAAAAGCATCAGCCAACCTCTCTGAGCACTGTCAGATGTATGGTTTGTATTGCAGTTCATTCATTGGTTAAGTGTTAAGACCAAAGACAGACACTTCTATTATATTCAACACTATGACACTGCTGTTTCTACTAATTCTGTTGGAATGAAGAGATGAAAAGTTGTAATTACAACATGAAATGTAACATAGTTTAGATCTGTGCAGCATTTTGAGCTGTAGATTTTCACTTTTTTCCAAGGTTTAAATTTTTTGTCGGTGTCTTGCAATTACATTACTATTCATGCATATGGGGGTCTTTTGGTGTTCCTAAGAAAACATGCCAAGACATTGCTTCTATGAATTGAAGTTATACTGGTTTGCTTGTAAAATTGGCTTGACTGGGTAAAATAATTTGCTTTCAACCATTTTAGATGCAGAGTTAATAAGTCTGGAAGATACAGCCATAAATGTCTAGAAGGATGAATGAAGGATGTTTAAGATATTTGGTTCCTAACACAATGTATCTTTTAGGGTTTTTTGGGTTTTTTTGGCTTGTTTTGCTTTGTTTTTAGATTCCAAAAAACTGCCAAATAAAAAACAAATTAAAAACCCACAAACTTGAGACTATGGAATTGTTATCAACTGATTCACTGTAATGCACATGAAAGTTGTATGAAAATCTGAGTGTCTTATTGTTTCAAACACTACTCAGTAAAGGTCTGCTAACCATTTTTGTTTTGTAACCTTCATGTTAATGGTTTTCTTGTGTATAGAAGTATATATAAAAAGATGGGAACTATTTTCTTACACATACTATGCAATATGTTTGTAGAACTGCAATATTACCAAAATTACAAAAGCTGTGCTTTTGTACCCTCTTGCTTTATGTAAAAAAAATCTTTTTTCTATTTAATGGACTGTCTGTCTTAAAATTGTGGATAACATTATTCAATAGCAGTACACTGAAACTTTAAAGATTTTTATTTTATTTAGCTTGGATTTTTTTTTTTAAATGAAAATAATAGCAAGGTTTTGGAAGTTGGAAATTGCTTTTTCTTGGAAAGCTAGAACTTTTTCAGCATGTAATTAATACTGTCAGTTTGAAATGTCTCCTGTACTTCTTTCATTTGGTCTTAGCATTTCCATCTGGTGCTACCATATAACCATAAATAAATGTGATATATAAAACAGGAAATATATCAGAATTAATTTCAAGAATAATCAAACAGGAATCCTGCTAAGGGTGAGAAGAACATCTAAAATAGCTGATGAGAAACGTTTAGATTTTCTGTATATTTTTGATGGATTTTTTTTTTTTTTTTTGCATTTCCTTACCTCTGTCTACATTAGCAGCATGGTGATAACTTTAATTTCTTTTTCAGGTTTTTTGTCCTAATACAGAGAATATAGTACAGTTTCATTTCAAACAATTTTTTTTTCAAAACAACAGACACTGCATTTAAATGCAGTACTTATGTCAAGAAAAACAATTTTAAAGAAGTGTAGGCTTTATTTCTTCAACAGCATTAGTAAAGTGTAAATTACAGTGCTGCTATATCATCTACCATAAAAGCAGATTAGACTACTTAAGTTCCTTTGTATCTTGCCAGAATAAGCTTAAATTGCATATTCATGTTTAAACTGCATTTGTTTCTAAACCACTTGAGAATTACACAGTCATGTAAAAGGTTTTGCACTGATGTCATCAATGCAAACAAATGTTCTCTGTGTTTACCCTGGGCAGGGTCAGGCTGTGCACAGCCTTGCACAGAGCTTGGACAAAAAGCAAGGTGAGCAGTTAGTGGGGTTGTTTACAAAGAGCTCCTTGATGCCACATTATGACTTCATCAATATCCAGACAGCAGCTAGCTTCACAATGCTGAAAAAATCAGCAATTTCTGTACAAGAGCAACAGTTGTTTAGAACTGTCAGTAATATAGGACAATATATCAGTCATATAGACTGATAAGTCTCAAATGACTAAAACATGATAGCTGGTACAGCAAGAAAAATTATTCTGGGCCATTTTACTTAGGGTTGGACTTGTCCAATCTGGGGAAACTACTGCCAGTGAAAGATAAATAGAAGATAAGTGAAAACAAAAAAATACACCATATGCATTGTGTTGATTCAACACAGTCCACACTGAGACTAGAATTTAATACAAGCTCTCTATGTAAAGTATAGATATGTCTTCTCTGAAACTTTGAACTGAGCTTCAGATTATGTTGCTTGAATTTGAAAGTATTATTTGATCTTTAAGCAATAAATTTCTTACCAAGTAATTGTAAGGAATTGTTTCAGAAGAGCTGAGGTAAAATCTTATACTGTATATCCAGTCTGATTAGAGTCCATAAACCAAATAAAATCTAGCCTAAGGAAAAAAAAAATTGAAATTTGAAAGTTTTTCTGAGTTTCAGGAAAACTTTAAGTGGACTTCAGCTTTTTAAGGAGTGGCCAGCTCTAGAAGTGTCTTCAATTCTGACATGTTTAAGAGTGACAGCAATTTATATATATAAATTATAAAATATTAGGCCTTGGGGCTAACTAGCTTCATTTAACACACAACTTGATCTGAGAAGTAAAAGTGGCTTTTAGTCACATGTATGCCTCCTTGTTGGAAAGACCCACAAGGGAGAAATTCAGCTTTCAGCATCACCTAGAACACAATGCAAAGTAGGATTTAAGCATTAGAGATGCATTACAGACAGCAAGATGTATTGTTTTCTGTGCTTTATGATATTTTGAGAGCTTGTATACAGTCATTCTTTACCACTGAGAGATCTACATTCTAACACAACTTATTTCTCAGTATATGTTTCAGAACTATTCCTAAAAAAATATGTAATTATTTTCTTTTACGTGATGTTTACTGAGTTTTCTTGTCCCAAACACTGCACCAGTTAGTAAGTCAAATTCTCCTTCTTAATTCCCACCCACTCTTAACTCTACAGCTGAGCTTCAGTTGTCCCCTTAAGCATCCTCCTTTCTTCACAAACAACAAAAAGAATTTTGCTTTCTCTTTATCAGGATGCTTCCTGTGTGACTTACTTAAACTGTGTCAAAGGGAAAACTATTTGCTTTGTGACAGCAGAAATTATATAAGAAGGAGAACACACGCAGGTAAATAATATTTTTAGTCTGTCTTACTAGAATTAAACCTCTAGAGTGAAAGCTTTTAAACTATAGACTCCTTAATAATTTTTAATTTCTCCAAATTTTTGTCATTCAGTGAATGTATTTAAAATACCATAAAATAAAAATGCAAACTATCCTATCCTGTTACATTTTTCTTTTAATGGAAAAGGCAATGACTGAGTTTATTATTTGTCCCTCTCTACTAATGCACTTATTTACTTTTACAAATCTGAAAGGAAAAAAGAGAGCCAATATAGTAAATAATATAACTATTTAAAACCCTTACTAATAACAGAATATTGTTCCTCTTAGTTCATGTCTGACATTCAAATTCATCCTTGGTAAATTAATGCTCTGATTTCTTATACAGTGGCAAGCCTTTTTGTTGTTTTGTGTAATCTCTGGGATATAGGAAACCCATGATGATAAAGGAAATAAAACAACTACACAGTATTAAAAGAAGCATCTGTGATAGTGTTCCCCATGCTACCATGGAACCGGACAAAATATGGAGGCATTTATTTGTATGAGGAGAGAAGGTCATCAACCATATTTAAATATCGTGTAGAAAATAGTCTGGATGCTTTCCAGCTCCATGTTCCCCAGGATGACTGAGACACAGTGTTGAAATAACTTCAAGTGACAGACAGAAAGGAAGCGGTTTCCTTGATCTGCATAGGGATGTTGTAGACATCATGCCTATGCATGTTGTGATGCATAGGCAGTAAATCAAAATCACTTTGCAACAGTAAAAGCAGTCACTAAATTTCTCCCTAAACCTCAGAGAAATGGAGAGAAGGTGAAGATTTACCGTAGATTCCTAGAATGGTTTGGGTTGAAAGGAACCTTAAAGAGCATCAAGATGCAACTCCCCTGCCCTGGGCAGGGCCACCTTCCACTAAGCCAGCTTTCTCAAAGCTCCATCCAACCTGACCTTGAGCAATTCTGGGGGTGGGTCATGCACAACTTCTCTGGGCAATCTCTGACAGTTCCCCACCAAACTCAACCTAACCTCATTCAATTTAAAGCCAGTTGAACCCTTGTGCTGGCACTACATGCCCTTGTAAAAGGTCTCTGTCTCCAGTTTTCTTGTAAGCCACCTTTAGGTATGGAAAGGGTGCTCTAAGGTCTCCCTGGAGCCTTCTCTTCTTCTGGCTGAACACCCCCAAATCTCTCATCCTTCCTCATAGAAGAGGTGTTCTGTCCCTGTAATTGTTTTTGTGGCCCTTTTTTGGAACAAACTCCGACAGGTCTACGAGTCATTTTTGTACCTTTATATCCTTGAATATTTTTTTTTTCTTGCTTTTCTTGGCTCCTTTGAAAACCAGCATCAGGATGGGGAAGAGCAGTAACCTCGGTATAAATTTTGTGTTTCTCAAATAGAAGGCAACAATGAACTCTCTGTTTGAACATGTACCTCTGTTTATGGCAGAAAGAGATGAAAATAGTCCAGTGCAGTAGGGTGGATTCAAACCCTGATGAAGTCAATAGGAAATGCTGACAAATTCTGTGTCTCTGGATTAGGCTTTAAATGTTCACTAAAGGCTTGTGCCAAAAAAAAAAAAATAGTCATAGTCTGTGACCTTTTATAGTGCATTTCTAAAACGTGTCATTAACATTAGTACAATTTTTCCTCTGCAAATTGTTCCAACTTCTACCTTCAGGTACCATTTTGACTCCCTCACAAGGAGAAGACTAAATAATTTTGCAGTCTTCAATCATTTGTCAAAACCAAATAAAAAAGTTACAAGATGTCCAAAATGAGTCATAATTTAAAAAAGGGTAAAACAATCTACTGTCACTACCTTTTTGGATTATGGCCTAGTATTTTCATCACGGTGGAGGAGTTGCACTGTTTCTGGAAGCAATAGGTTTGATCTTCCTGGCCTTTCCACTCACTTTTAAAGAAGTTCTGCAGACCATGTTCCATCCCTTTTGCACAGGAGAGGAAAATTAGGGAAATTAATTATTTCTATTGGGTTTGGACTTGATTTTGTTGCATGATCTATCTTTACACTCACCTAAATCCTTGCATTTAAGTGTAAAGGAAAAATATAAATCATATAGCAGCTACTAAGGCTAACAATATTAATTGCAGCATGGAGTGGGTTATTGCTCAAGATAATAATTACTGCTATGGTGGAGCAAAATGCAGGAAGAGAAAGGGAGAATACAAAGAAAAAGCATGGAAAGAGAATAAAGGCATGGGAAAAGAGACAAAGAGTGAAATTAGAACAGGTTTAGTGTGTGAAGGGGAAGAAAGTGCTAAATAAAAGTTAAAATTTCTCTTTACCTCTCTGACCTTGTTAAATAGATCATGCCAAAGTGCAGAAAGCAGGGGAAAGCTTCAGGATAGCATTGATTCAGAAGTCCTTTTCAAGACCAGAAATGTACTATTCATGGGAACAAGACAGTATGAACAAGATCAGAAAATTTCTGTTGCTTCTCTGGCCGCTCTGTGAAGAGAGGCACAGATCTAGAAGTTATAAGCAACGGAAACTGTATAGAAGACAAAGTTTTACATACAAAAGTACAGTTTTGAGAGAAGTTGTCACTGAGGCTTACATTAGACTACAGCAGTGTAAATGGAAAA